GACACCGGCCTGCGAGGGCGTGAGGAAGTGGAGGAGGCGGGTGCAGTCCAGTTGAGAGCAACAGGAGAGGATTTGGGGTTGGGGAGGGTGGAGACTCCTGACAGAGATCTGCTCAAAGAGTAAAAGCAAAAATAATGTCTCATACAGTTTTAACTGCATTTAATATGTAGTAACATATGTATATACACTTTAATAAAATAAACCTAGATCATTTTAATGATATCATCCGTGTGAACTGACTTGTATTTGTTGGTTTGGTCCAGGCTGTCCCTGTCCCTCTCTCTCCTGACTGGAGGAGGAGGAGGAGGAGATGCACTGTGGTCGGACTCAGATTCAGACGGAGCTGAATAAACAATAATCAACAGTTAGAAAACCAGCAAATCAGTGCTGGTTTGAGTACAAGCATCTTTGTGCTTCTGCACAAAAAAATAAATAAAATAAAATAAAGTAATTCTCTGCAGGACTGACCTCGGCGAGGAGCGTAGGCTTTTACAGGTGGCCGGGATAAGGTGGAGCGCACAGGCGATTGATCCCGAGACTTTGGCAGTGGAGGTTCAGCTTTTGTTCTGTGTGAGAAATAAAAGATTTCTTCAGTGCTTTTCGATCAAATCCAATAAAGGATTAACGTTTTTTGTGCATTACATCGGTGGACTTAGTTTTTACTAGGCGGGCTGGCAGGGTAAAGTCTGTACCTGCGTGTCCGCCTCTCTTTGGCGGTTGGACGTGTCCTGTGGGCTCGAACGTCCTCATCAATGTCTGAAATTTCTGATGGGACACAGAAACAGAAAATGTATCAACTTTTCAAGCTATACAGGGGGGTGTTTGCAAGATAGTCTTGAATTAATTCATCTGAGCCTGTAGCCCAAAAGCATGAGGGACATTACAGGATCAGACCGACTTCACAGGACTTTGATTTCACCCATGAAATAAGTAGAAGCTGCTTCACCGTTTTGATTTCTCCACCTTTTCCCTTCTGTTTGATTCCCTTACCATCCAGCTCTGAGCTGCTGTCTTTGCGACGTTCATAATCGCTGTTCTGGGGGCTGTCCTCCACCTCTGGGATGCTGACCAGGAATCTACGGTCATCCCTGAGGACCGTCATGGTCAGTTTGCCTCTACTCTTCTCCACCAGGTGCTTGGTCTCCAGCAGGGATAGGTTCTCCGTTGTCATGCCATTGATCTGCTCACAGATACAAATTTGATTAAGACAAACTGAAGATTAATAATGAAATCTTCCAGTCCTGTAGAAGAGTTGTAGCTTAAAAATACTCCAAGACAAGTGAAATATTACCTTGAGAATGAGGTCGCCCTCCTGCAGGGTGCCTTCCCTTGCAGCTAGGCCAGTTTCTGTCATGTGCTTGATAAAGATCTGACTGCCCAGTTTCAGTCCATACTCTGCAGAAAAAATAAAGCCAGAAATACTTAAATAAGCACTTTAAAAAAAGAAGAGCTGAGCAGATTATTTTTGTCTAAAAAGCTTTGCTTCTTCACAAACAAAAAAGGTTTCCCTTCGCTCTCATCCCTGAAATCTTACCATCTGTGGTTTTCTTTTTAATCAAAGTAGTTCTGATGGGTTTTTCTGAAACATTTTTGAGCGGCAGCCTCTTGTACCCCGATGAAATCAACGGCGCCGCGTTCGCAAGCCCGTTGCGTTCGGGTGTGGGGCTTCGGCGCGTGTAACGGTCGTTGGTGCGATAACGGTCATCGGCGCGATAGCGGTCATCGTCACGGTTGCGGCTGGACTCCATGTTGTCACTCCCATCGGAGTGGCGTCGTTGCCGTCTCGGAGGGTCCGCATCCAGCAAGTTGGAGTGCGAGGCTGCCCGAGTGGGTCTGGTGGATGAGGTTGCTGGGATCTGGATCTTACGAGGACGTTTCACTGTCTGGGAAAGACGCAGAAGACGCCCATCAGAAAGAAACCCAAGATTGGAAGCCACTTGGCACGAATTAAATAAGGCTCGGTGCGCACTTACTATGTTTGCAGTCTTGCCGCAAGACTTCAGGGTCTGAATGGTGTAGTTAGAATGGACGTTGTCCATTGGTTCGCCATTGACCATGACAATTTGGTCTTTGGTGCTGCAGAAGTACAAGTATACACAGGCAGCCAGGTGTTCATTCAACAGTCAAATCTTAAAGAGGTCTCTACACTTAAAAGCAAAAGGCCTCCGACTTACAACAGCCGTCCCATGGCTGGTCCATTTGGCAGCACATCTGACACCAGAATTGACGTGTCCCCATCGGGCTGCGGCTTGTCCCTGCCTCCTGATATTGCAAAACCAAATCCTAGTTTGGAATCCTGCCATTTAGAAAGAACAAGAAAGAAAATGATGGTCAGTAAAGAGTGCAGGGAAGTAGGTGGGTGGATGAGCATGAGTGGGAGATACAGTAGAGAGATAGGAGGAGGAAAGAACACATTCCAGTGTCGCCAACAATGAGGGAGGACAGCGAAGAGCTGGCTGGTGCCGTGGGGTGCAGCAGGGTGTGTCACTGAATTCCTGACGGAGCCTGTGCTGTGAAACTAAGAGGACTTGAACACGGTCCCTCAGAAACCACAACGAAACACACACTTTCCACATGTGTATTTGTTTAGCCACACACTAGAATCTCCATGTTAAACTTAATTTAGCCGACTGATTATTTCATGTCGATTAAACAACTGGAAAAGTAAAACACGCTAGCGGTTTCACCATAACACCTCACGTATGTATCTCAATTATTCAATTAAAAAACAACAACAAACAAACAAACAAAAAAAAAATCACTTACTTTGTTTAGTGTTATTGTATGTTGCTCCCATATTGTTATCTCCTCCATGCCTGGTTTCTGGGGGAAAAAACAAAACAAAACACAATAAGAAAAATAATCTTTTTTTATAGCAATTGACAATAATAAATCATGATTAATTAACTCATAATCAACATATAGTCCAGGTCCTTACAGAGAGGACAGCTGAGCCTGAGTGGAAGACAGAATGTGCCAATACGTGAACCTGATCTCAACATGCTCTCACCTGTCGCAATCCTGCCTGACCAGTATGGAGGAGGGGCTACCTGGTATGTGTGTGCATATTTTTAACCACCTTTACACCACAGACTCCAACCAACAACTGGAAAAACTTTATCAAGTTACAATATTTAGCTTATTGTTTCAAATAAGAGCTTTCCATCCTGGCATCTGAGATAAGGAACAAGTGGCAGACATGGCTGTTTGGCCGAGTACCTCGGGATGAACGAAACTGTAGAGCAACTGGTGACAAGGAACTATTAGATTCTTCTGGGAGGGATTTATATCAGTGAAAAAAGACGACCTTTGACTTACAGGAACATGGCAACATGCCTAACGTGATTTGCATTAAAAAAAAACAACAACAAAAAAAAAAACCAAGCCAACACTGCAGCCTGGCCGTGGACTATATTTCATACACCGAGGACGACGCTTGCTAAGCTACAGCCAGAACGAGTAAAGCCTGATACTCAAGTCAGACACACAGTGGTGTAGTGTTGCTTAGACTTAGAGTTTGTTTAAACACTGTGAACAGGGCACACGACAAGTACAAGGTCCTGACGCACATTAGTGCTCAAAGCACAGCAACATCAGCCGAGCACCCAACGTCCAGTCACACCCAAACACATAACCTAATTATACAATTTCGTTTTATTTTCGTAGTTGTTTTTTTTGTGTAATTAGGTTACACAAAAAAAACAACTACAAAAATAAAATCTCACAAATGATCACCAGGAAAACCTTAAACTCGCAGGTGTACAATGTCTAACCTGGGAACAGCAGGCCTCTTGTTTGACCTGGTTAATCATAAACTGGAGAAGGTAAAAAAAAACAAAATACAAGTACTGACATTAGTATTCAAACAAAAGCTGGTCATGACTTTTTCTGATTTGATGATAAGGTAGACTGAAACAGCAGCTGAAGTAGTTACGTTTTTTTATTCTTTTTTTAAAATCTGCTGTAGATTCGTTGCATTTATAGATTTAAAGCTGCAAGCGACACAAAAACGTCACTTAAGTGCCAGTTTTCAAACAAAGCAATTTTTTTGAGGAGTCCGTGAATAGGCTTGATGAGTAGTTGGAGTATATGCCTTTATGGAAATCACATCAGCAACAAAGTATACAAAACAACTTAATGTAGAAGGACACCGAGCTGCCGGGAAGGTCTACGCTCACAGAGCTCATTTACAGCTCACTGACTTTACAACCAGTTAAAATTTAACTTTGGATGTAGGTCATGATGTCGGAGCAATGAGATGCATGTGAAACTGCAGATAAAGATTACTTTTATGATGTTCTCATCGTTACAGATCAGAGAAAGATGAGATGTAAATATGAGCATTGCCCATATTCCAAAAGAAAATTGATTATTTACAGAAAACAAACGACAGTGATTTGTTATCTGCTAATAAACGCCTGATCCAAGACTGCCAAGCCTGCAGCTGCACTCCTTCAGGACACTCCTCCATCTTCAGGTCATCATTTTTCCAGCTTCAAACAACATTAATCTAAGGGAGCTGATGCACATCACTAATGACTTGTGTCCTTACATTTCTGTAAATCTTTAACAGTTATGCTTTTTTCACACTAAAGGGAAGCATAACTAAGTCCATAAACGCTTCGTTTATTTTCATCTGCACTCACCATGTGATCTTTGAACCTGACTTCCATTTCCTACTGGGATTTCTACCCTGAACAAAACACCTGCTGCCTCCAGCGCTCAGCAAACAGCCAGCTCTTTATATCCCATATGGAGCCGGCAACAGAAAAACAATCACAGATCCAGTAATCTCAGGTTACTTCGCCCGCCAGTGAGCTCTGCGTGGATGGTGGCTGAAACCAGATCCTCGTGCTGAAATTGGTTGTAATATGACCAGCTGGGGTGTTTCTCTCACACCGGGCAGAGAGACTGAAAGACCTCACCTGGAAAGCGCTCCTCCCCTTTGAGTCTTTGCCCACTCTAAGAGTCATTCTAGTGTCCTTAAATAAACACGGCTTTTAAGGTGGATCTGCCCTGCCTTAAACCCACCAGAACTGGGGAGAACTGGGAAGCACCTTAAATATGTCAGGTAGGGGAATCACTCCCTTGCGTTTTTGTATAGCTTTGAACATTCAAGCTAAGAACTAGAAAGCTCAACGTTTTTTCATTTCAAGGCAGAAAAATATCATTTAGCTCTAAATAACAGACAGTCACTGATTGGTCGGGAGTTTTTAACGGTGTGTTCACATGACTGTTAATGTTATTGCACATACAGTAATTGAAATCAGTCTATTATGGTTAAATAAATTAGACTGAAATTAAGAAAGCGTTTGTTTGTTTTCACAAACCAGTTCCCGGGGCAGTAAAAAAATTAATTCCTCTATGTGGGAAAAACCTTGTTTCAGTGGAATTTTGCAAGTCAAATCTCTGCATATTTTATGCAAAGTTTTAGACATGTCTCCTTCAACACGTCATATCTCTGGATCCATGAACAAACAATCCTCCTATTGTCTTTTTACAAAATAATTATTTTAGACGCTGGTGGACGACTGAGACTAAAATATATTAATACTACTGTAAGGTTTAGGCTTAGTTTGAATATCAAAAGAGCTTAAGAGGTTTAAACTAATTATAAGAAAAGGTCTAAATACAAACAGTTAAAGGGGGAAAAATATGTCTCTAAAAGCTACTTTTAGTTCCAATTAAGACACAAAATTGTAAATGTGTGTTACAGAAAGGGCTCCTCCTCATAAATAAAAATAAACAATGACATGACAAGTCTGTTCTGTCAGTTATGGCTCTATCACAGCAACTTTCACAGGGTTGTATGGGAAGAATCATAGATTCGTATGATATGATGGTGGCTAGCTACATTTCTAACCGTCTCCATGTTAATCTGTCCACAATAAAACAGGAAGAAGTTTAAGGAGGTCGCTTAGGAGTACGCTTCCTGAGAAGATCACACCAAGAGCATGATGTGTACTTCTGAAAGAAAAGCCCTAATAAAGAGCAGCTTTGTTTCCTCCAAACTGTGAAGCATAACAGAAGGAGCCTCGGGGTTCAGGCCTTCTTTTTATACCTTCGGGTGTGGGCTCGGTGAAGGAGCAAAAAAACAAAACAAAACTGTGTCACAAGGAAATCAGTGACAGAGGGATTAAAAATAGAAGAGAAACGACGCTTTAATGTTCAGAATCTTTGACCTTACTGAGATCACCTAACGAGGCCCGTCCTATAAATATATCCCAGATTCTTTGAAGTGAAAATTAATTCCTTCTTCCACCGAACTGTGGAAAAAGCCTGCTGTGGAGCACACGTAGATAAACAAAGGTTTTACAAGTCACTCGCGTACTTTTTGCCAAGTTGAACTGTCACCGAATCAGTGTGTTCAATAAAGAATACATTTTCCACAACTTTGATGAACAAGACATGAAGAAATTCTGCTGATTTAAAACACTTCACAAACCTTTTCTTTAACTGTAAAACAAAACCTTTCAACTAACTGTTCAACATAAATAAAGAAAACAAAAATAAAATTCTGTGGGTTCAAATTGAGCACTACCACCTACCACTGGAAGAGTGGGGGTGGGAAGTTCTCTTAAAGCTGAAGTTAATGTAAAGCTGCTTGGTTACTGTAACAGAAAAAGGAACTACAAATAAAATAACTACTATCCATTCACTTACAGGCACCACCAGCAGTGGCGGAGGCTCCGGAGGCACAGAGCCCAAGTGCTTCAGCCGTTTGAGTCGCTCTGTCAACTTCATAATGATAACAGTGCTGACCCACTCGTTCACAGACACCAAAGATCTCCAGCTGTCTGCAAATCTGCAAATAATCCTGTCTGTGTCTCAGTCACACATGGTCACTGATGCAGGTCTGCAAGCCTCTTCACGACAAACATTAATTTGCCATAAAAGAAAAACTCAGAAAAACAGAAGATAAAAATTAAAAATAAATAAAAGTAGCATCTGTCATCCCTCTGCTTCCAATGGAGTCATGTGAAGATCGCTCCATAGGTCCGTCTGCCCAATAGTTTCCTTCGTGACAGGCTCATAAAGTCAAACAGGTCCACTTGCTCCCGCTGTCAGTGGTATGTGCGCGTCTTACTTTCCCACAAGGCAGGAGCAGATCCCAGGCTACCGCCTGAGTTTCTGTCTGCTCGGTGCCATGGTTACATCGGAGGAATGAGAGCACTGGCCTGTTAATAATTGACGGGGTGTTTGCAGCACTATGGATATCCCAGCTTCCTGTAAGTGTCCTGATGTGCCTACACAGGCCGTTTCTCGGGATCAGGAAATGGCAACAGAGAGCCCGATGTTATCTCTGTTCCATGGTTAACATTTACATATGCCCCACAGCATGGGCGGGTTGTAGCCTTTTTTCCAGTGTTCAGTGTGACATGTACCCAAATCATTGAGGAGGAAGGGGGACAAAGAGGAGGTGAAGCTACTAGAAAACACTATCCAACAGCTTACTACTTCCTAAATCCCTCATCCACAGATCAGTGTCTGTATTATAAAACTTGAGAAACAAAACAGATGTTAGATGCCAACTTGGGTTCAGCCAGGTGGACTAGCCAACATGAGGTCAGCG